CAAAATTTTTTATTTAATAAAAAAAAATAGAAATAAAGTTTTGTCTGGTATAACAAAAATCCGTTATAACGAGGTCCGTTATAACGAGGTTTGACTGTAGCTAAAATTTTGCAAGGAAATAAAATAAGTCTCAAAGAATGTGTGTACAAAATATCACGTTTCTGGTTAAAACTTCATGTGGGTGTGCTAGGTAACAAATGAAAAAGTTCCTTTGATTTTAATAGTAAAAATTGACTTGTTGCACAAAATTTCTACATAGTTATTACAGTAGACATGTCGATCGCGTGAAATGTCGTCTGACTGGTATGAAATTCAGTCGGCAATTTCGGCAGTTACACGGAATTTGTAGATCGTTTTTATGTGCTCAAAAATTTGTTCAAAATAAAATAATTATTCCGATTTATATTCCGTGTAATAGTAATAGTAACAAATAATTTAATTCAAATTTTCCATTTTTCAGATTTATTATTCCACAATACCATTTTGAAGGAAAATTTATCAATTTTATAAATTATATTACTATTACTATATATTAAAAGTAACATTGAAAATTTTTTAAAAAAATAAAATCAAATTAAAAATGTCAAATAAACAAAATCCAATGAGAATTTCTTCTGTTCATGGAAGTATGAGTTCAAAGAAAAAAAAAAAAATCTCAACCATTAACTTCATTAAATGATTCTTTTGGTGAATTTTCTAATACTACAATGCACAGAACTGAAGTATCTGGTGATGAATTAAATGATAGTGAAAAAACTATAAGTTCCGAAGATTTGGAAGATGAACATAATATATCACATACTAATAAAACTGTTAATCCTGAATGGTTTAAATCATATTCATGGTTAGGAGTTGAAAACCTTAATGAAGAAACAATCATATATTGTAAAATATGTAGAAATAGGAATGGGAAAACGAAATTTGCAAGAGGTACATCTAATTTAAGATTAACAAGGATTAAAGAGCACTTAGTAGCCAAGGAGCACAAAGAATCTGAAGAATTACTTGAGGCAGACCAATTGAGCACAAAAAAATTAACAATAATTTCATTAATGAGAAATGTTTATTTTTGCTCAAAAAAAAAATCTTTCATTGAATATATATCCAGATTTATGTGATTTAACATCACTACAAGTCAAGAATAAAGCAATTGGTGATAAAACCTCCAATTTAAAACCTGCTTCCATAGAAAAAACATCATCACCTAAATCAACTTATGGAAGCTATACTAATGCTAAGTCTGGTTCTGAATTTTTAGAATGCATAGTTTCTGTTATATAAAAAGAACTTTTTGAAGAATTGAATTTATCTCCATACTGGAATGTATTGATTGATGAGACAAATACTATCAATAATAGTAAATATCTAGCAATTGTTAGGAAAATATATGGTGAATAATATACCATATGGGGCATGGACAGCAAAAAAGGCCGAATTTTTATAAAATATGTTTTTGAGAAAAAGGGGTATTAATTCGCAATTCGCGATAAATGGAAAGAATCGACATACATTTTAATAGTAAAATGCGGGGATAATAAACATAATAAAATTACTTAGTAACAATAATATTGAGTCGATTTTAATTTTAAAAATTTTAAAATGACTAACCGTCCCAATTTAACTGTAAATCTCATTTCAATAGGTCAAATAAAGCCACACTTGCACTATGGCGTAGATTCAAGAGAATGGTGGGTTATGAAAAGTAAAAGTAAACCAGAAGAAGGTGTGTTACTTTATCCAAGGAGAGTTGGTTGGGAAACAAGCATAGAACAAAATGGCAGACAATACTATACATGTATTACTGAAGGCAATGAAAATAGTAATTTATTACCAGGATATAGATGTCATTCTGGGTGCAAGTTTAGTGATATAGAAGAAGCACCAAGTAATGCAATAACAAGCTTATATAAAAGACTAAATCCTAATTCAAATACAAATTTTTCTGGTCCTTTGGTTTTAGGTTGGGATAACGAAGAAATATTGGAAGATTCACTGAAGGATATAGATTTTCAACCTTTTGCTATAAAGTTGGACAAATTTTTAATATATATTATAGATATTGGCATGGGAGAAGAGAGTGATTTTGGTGTCAAAATTGGTTATACTTCTTCATTTATAGGTGAATATAAGAGAACATATGCTTTGTTTATTCAAACTGTTGAATATGACCATTGCAAGATTTCTATATATATGGATAATATTGAATCACCAGTGTTTTTCTTTGGCTCTACACCATCAGAAGTATGGGAAAATACAAAAATTTATAAAAAATTCACTGGAATGCAGTTGTTTGGATTGGAACATCCAATGACCAAACAAAATATTCAAATTGAAAAAATTCCTAGATGCACACCTACATCTTGGAATAATAAAAAAATTATGGATGCTATTTTCAATTATCATTTGAAAAAAAGAACTCTTTCTAATATTGACTGGGAAGAATTTTTTCAATCTTGGCTAGAACAAAAAAGCACAATTATTGAACTGCATGAAAAGTTAAAAAATTTATATCCATACAATCATGAGTTTAGTGAATGTGAAATGAGAGCATGGCATGCAATGTTGAGGGCTACTGGATGTACAGAAATAACACCCGTTTCAATAGACAAGTTAGAGGTAATTTTTTATTCAGTTTTTATTCAAACTCATAATTTTCAAATGTTAATAAGAATTGCATTAGTATATGCAAAATCAATCTTGAGCCAGAATTTAAAATCACCTTAAAATTATCATTGATTTGAACTAATACAAAATTTTTTGATGAATTTAAGCATGAATTTTGGTCTCGAAGCTCTGATCCATCAGTTGATCAAGATACCTTGGAGTTTTTAAATAGTAATGGCTTTTTGAATGTGAAAAAAAAAAAGATTACACTATAGTTGATATTTTATGGGAATGTTTTAATAAATCATTGGAACAAAACAAAACAGGTTATGATGGTAAAATAAGAATATTGTCAATAATTGCAAGTGAATTTCAATATGAAGTACTTCAAAGAAAACTCAAGGTAATTTTATTTTAATATGCCTATTTGAACTACATTTTATCATTGTTTTGTATCAATGGTGACATTGAACAATGCAATGTTGATGGCCAAATGAATTAATGAATTAATGATGGTTGTTATAATTAAAGAGTTCTCCAAAATATTTAAATCCTGCAGATTTTGATAACTAGATGATGATTTTTTGTTAGAAATAATTTTTAAAGAACTTTAAAAATTTTGAGTAACTTCATTAGGATTAATATTGTTTAATAACATCATACTTTGATGTTGATTATTTACAATAAAGTATATCCAATTAATTTGTTTTTCCATTGAATTTTAAATTATTCTGTCCATTGAATCTTGTTATTTCATTAAAAAAAAACATCATTAGTATCACAATCCATTAAGTTCATTAGGATGTACATAAACATATTAATATTCTTATTGATAGTAATGCCATTAATGATAATTTATACTTATCTGAATAAAATAGGTCTCATCTAAAACAATATCCAAAGCAAGATTACATTTCAAAGTTAATGGTCCAGGATGTGCAGTAACTGAAAAACCAACAATTACAAGAATTCGAATTACAGAAGAAGCTAAAAGACAATTTGAAATTTTTTTTGTAAAAATATTGTCAATTTAAGTTCTTACAGAGTAAATAAAAAAACTGGTGAACCTGCAAAATATTTGAAAGATCAAAAAGAAACATTGTGGAGAAAATACTTTGAACAACATCCATCTGGAATGAAAAGAACAACATTTTTAACATGCTTGAATGATGGTTCTTTTGTATATAAGGAAGATATGGGGGTTTGTGTGGCATTTGTTTTGAGTATGGGTATGGTGTATTTGATGATGTGAAAACCCTAATATTAGGGAAAATAAATGAAAAAGGTCATCAGGTGAGTAAATGCTTTATAGTAGTTATAATTAACAATCATATACTGAAATAATTTCATATACTGTTAGAATCAATTAATTGCAGAACTTGAATCCATCCAACATCATTTAAAATGTGAATATGAAAAAGAACTTGAAGTGTATTGCCTAGGACACACTTATCATGTTGAATGTCTTGAGCATTGCCTTCCATATGCTTTTGGACAATGTACCAATTCCCATATTTCTAATTGTAAACAATGCAATAAGATATCAAAATGGTTTCATCAATTAATGCAGGTTATGCCAAATGATTTAGAACAAATTATTAATAACAGAAATAAGCTTCAGTATTATTGGTCACATCAGGCAAGAAAGACATACCTTAATGCTCAATTTAATGCTAACTTGCTTTCTCTTGATGATGAGGGTGCAATCATTGTAAGATGATGATTTTTTGTTAGAAATAATTTTTAAAGAACTTTAAAAATTTTGAGTAACTTCATTAGGATTAATATTGTTTAATAACATCATACTTTGATGTTGATTATTTACAATAAAGTATATCCAATTAATTTGTTTTTCCATTGAATTTTAAATTATTCTGTCCATTGAATCTTGTTATTTCATTAAAAAAAAACATCATTAGTATCACAATCCATTAAGTTCATTAGGATGTACATAAACATATTAATATTCTTATTGATAGTAATGCCATTAATGATAATTTATACTTATCTGAATAAAATAGGTCTCATCTAAAACAATATCCAAAGCAAGATTACATTTCAAAGTTAATGGTCCAGGATGTGCAGTAACTGAAAAACCAACAATTACAAGAATTCGAATTACAGAAGAAGCTAAAAGACAATTTGAAATTTTTTTTGTAAAAATATTGTCAATTTAAGTTCTTACAGAGTAAATAAAAAAACTGGTGAACCTGCAAAATATTTGAAAGATCAAAAAGAAACATTGTGGAGAAAATACTTTGAACAACATCCATCTGGAATGAAAAGAACAACATTTTTAACATGCTTGAATGATGGTTCTTTTGTATATAAGGAAGATATGGGGGTTTGTGTGGCATTTGTTTTGAGTATGGGTATGGTGTATTTGATGATGTGAAAACCCTAATATTAGGGAAAATAAATGAAAAAGGTCATCAGGTGAGTAAATGCTTTATAGTAGTTATAATTAACAATCATATACTGAAATAATTTCATATACTGTTAGAATCAATTAATTGCAGAACTTGAATCCATCCAACATCATTTAAAATGTGAATATGAAAAAGAACTTGAAGTGTATTGCCTAGGACACACTTATCATGTTGAATGTCTTGAGCATTGCCTTCCATATGCTTTTGGACAATGTACCAATTCCCATATTTCTAATTGTAAACAATGCAATAAGATATCAAAATGGTTTCATCAATTAATGCAGGTTATGCCAAATGATTTAGAACAAATTATTAATAACAGAAATAAGCTTCAGTATTATTGGTCACATCAGGCAAGAAAGACATACCTTAATGCTCAATTTAATGCTAACTTGCTTTCTCTTGATGATGAGGGTGCAATCATTGTAGTTGATTATAAAATGAAGATTTTACCACAGTCAGCTCGTGAAGCAAAATCTGATTTTTATGGGAAATCTGGATGGACTCTACATTCAATGTTAGTGTATACCAAACATAACAATGATTTAGAAATTCAAGCTTTTGATCACTGGTCCTCAGATACAGCCCAAGATGCTTGGTTTACTGCCTCATGTTTTGAAGTTGTATTTAATACTCTTGAAAAAAAACCAAAGTGGATAAAAATTCTATCTGATAATGGTGCACATTATCATTGCTCTGAATTAATGGCTATGATTTCAAATTGGAAAATTTGGTATGGGGTGGATGTTCATAGCTGGACTTTTTTGGAAGCAGGGGAAGCCAAAACAACAATAGATTCACATCATGCTCAGGTTTATAATTAATTGCTAATAATAAATTCATTATAAATAAAATTAATATATAGTAATAAATTTATTATAAATAAAATTAAATGCTTGTCTTTTCCTTAATTCCACAGATATCACATGCAATTAAAAGATATGTTAGTCTTGGACATAATATATCTGAAGGAGAAGATATAGTAAAAGCTGCCAAAATGATTAAAGGAACATCAATTGCAAATATTGAGCCTGATCGTAAGCATAAAGAAGGAAAAAAACCTGTAATTCCTGGAATCTCAAATTGGTTTGAATTCCAATGGCCAGTTGAAGGAGAGTTTTCTGGTTTTATTCATGGTAGAGCTCTTCCAAAATGAATTATTCTTTGAGAAGATATTTCTTTGTCATTACAAAATGATATTATTTGATTAAAAATATTTTCTCCATCTGTTGATTCTAAATTAATCATTCCTAAATATCTCATATATTGGGGCATGGACAGCAAAAAAGGCCGAATTTTGATTTCTGATCATTTTTGAGATAGTAACATGATTACATGCATTATGTGCCTAGGAATTATTTGAGCTTAGAAACATACCCATGCTTACTTAATAAAGTTGTTAGATATTTTCGTTTTTTGAAAAACACCTTTTTCGTGCAATGACCCAAATTTCCGGGATGATCTACAAAGAAATGTACAAATTTGATAATATCCAAATTAAAATTTTTTTTTTACCCATCATACATAATAATAAAAAAAATGAGTAATATTTTATCTGAAAATAATAACCTTTTTGACAAAACCCACCCAGAATTATCAGAATTAAATGAAGAATTCCAAGAACTTCAAAATAATTTTATTTCTCCTTTGGATATTCAAGCAGAAGATATCATTGGCATTGATGAGACTGATGAGTCAGAAGTTTCTGATGATGAACTTGATAACACAAATGGTAGTATTTTTTCAGATTTAGAAATTCAAAAATTTAGAAATATTTATTGCAAAAATTCAGTTGAAATAGATTCTGATGAATTAGTAACAACACAAGAAAAAATAGATCAAAAAAATGAAGAATCAAAAGCTTATATTTTAAATATATTAAAAACAAAATGTTGTAATAAAGATTGTTTAACAAATATTGATCAAGAAAGTGCTATATTAAGATATAAAAATTATAACAATTTAAATAAGAATGAACAAAATATATTTTTATTGGGGTTGTCTCAACTTCAATAAGGAATCCAATGAATACAATCAATAATTATATGACATTAAAATATATTTATGATGGAGTTAAAATATGTGCTAATGCTTTTTTGAATTTATATAATTTATCAGAAAATAGATTAAAAATTTAAAAAAACATTATAAAAATAATGATATTATCCCAGTAACACATTTAAACAAAAGAAAAAAACCACCTAATGCAATTTCTTTTGATAACATATTAAAAATACTTACATTTATTAAAAATTTTGCATCTTTACATGGTTTACCATTTCCAGGTAAGTTTTAAATAAAAATAATTTATATTATCAAATATTTATTAATAATTTTGAATTTACTAGGCTGTCATTTTAAAAGAGATACAAAACCTATAATTTATTTATCTACAAAAGAAAATTATACAAGAATGCATGATGAATTCCTAAATAATATTGCTGAAACTCCAGAGCTTTCTGTTTCTTATAAAAAATATCTTCCTGAAATACAATTCCTATCCCCTCAAACTGATCTTTGTCAATTGTGTAAAGAAATGAGGTTCAATTCAACTCTCTGGACCTCAGCTGAAAAGGAAAAAAGAGTAAAAGTTTGGAATGAACATATTAGGTGGTCAAATGAAGAGAGAGATTATTATAGGTATCAATTCAAATATTTTTTTTCAATATATACTATTAATTTAACTTATTTGTTAAATCTCTTAGGAATTGTATTCAAAATGCAAAGGAAGATTTAAAATATAGAAATAATACTTCAATGATTGTTGATTAAGATATTATTCCATGCTCATCTAATATAAATGCTCATATTTCTTGGGATTTTGCTGAACAAATACAATTACCTGTTTCATCACAGCAAATAGTATGTTGATTTATTTTCTTATAAAAATTAATTGTATTTAACTAAAACTAATTTATACAAAAAATAATTAGGAAATACATTTTTCAAATCATTGTATAAAGTGCAATTATTTGGTATTTGCAATGAAGCTATTCCAGAACAAGTATATTTCATTTAAAAATAAAAATTTTAAAAAAATATATTAATATTTTTTCATTAATTTCAGGTAAATTTTCTAATTCCTGAAAAATATTCAGTAGGAAAAGGAGCTGATGCAGTAATCTCTATGGTGCACCATTATTTTAAAAAATATGGGATGGGTGAAAAAAATATAACCATTCATGCTGATAATTGTTCTGGTCAAAATAAAAATAATGCAATGCTATGGTATTTGACTTGGCGAGTTATGAATGGATACAATGAAAAAATTACATACTCTTTTATGGTACCTGGGCATACTAAATTTGCACCAGATGGTTTTTTTGGATTAATAAAATTAAGATTGAGAAAATCTGATGTTGATGACATTGATGATTTAGTTCAAGTTGTCCATGAGTCAACTAGATCTATGTATAATCTGGCACAACCTGTTTATGATAATAATGAAAAGAAAGTTAATTTCTATCAATGGAATAACTTTCTCTCAAAATATTTTAAAAAGCTTCCTAATATATCAAAAATGCATCATTTTACTTTTGAGAAAGAACATCCAGGTTGGGTGAAATATAAAAAACAACATGATGAACCTGATAATTATAGCTGTCTTTTAAAAAATCATGACTTTAGATTTGATTCTATAATTTTAGAGGATGAATTGGAACCCCAACTAGACAGTGGTATTTGTATGATGAAATATGAGACTTTGTGCAAAATCCTATTAAAAAAGATATCATTTGTTCAGAACCCATTGTAGCTAGACCATGATTTTTTTAGAAATTTTATCTTTATTGTTATTTATTAATTTGTCATATATTTATATATTTATTTATTTTATATATTTTATTGTTTTAAAAAATCAACTATTTTTTTTAATTTTCTGGGACAAGATCATCATCAATTTTCTATTTTAGGATTTTCTGGGACACAATTTACTTTTATGGAAATTTCATAATAAAAAACTTAATACCCTTTTTCTCAAAAACACATTTTATAAAAATTTGGCCTTTTTTGCTGTCCATGTCCCAGATGATCAACAATCAACATATTTTTTATTCGACTAAATTAATAATGAACCTTTTTTTGAATAAAAAAAAAATTGGGGAGCAAAAGTTCATTGCAAACAACAGGCAAGGCAAATGGCAAGGAACTTGCAGATTGCAAAGAACTCTTTAATAAACAGAATATTTGCTGTACGAATCAAAATTTGCTTAATAATAATAAGGTGAAAACATTGATCGCACCAAAAACCAAACAGAACTTTACACAAAGAAATTTAATTTGCAAAATCGACAAAAAATTATGGAATTTAGAAAAAGACAGTAATACATAGGTAAACTCGATAAGTTGGTCATGAATAGCTGTGTATGATGGACCGACTTATTGAGAGAACTGACTTATCAAAAACACATGACTTTAAATTTTAAATAAAATGTTTTTGCTGATCATGATTTAGATTAAACAAAAGAAATAAAATCTAGACATTAAAGTATTGAAAATCATATGTTTTATTCTCCAAAACTATTGCTTTATATGATATAATTTTAAATATTTTTATTATGTAAATTCTTGAAAAAAACAAAAAAGAAAATTTATTCTAAATAGATATCCATGCTAGTTTGTATTGAAGAAGCTGCATGTTTTCTACTGATTTTCCATTTTAAATCTCTTAAACCTGTAACAAATGAATTGGCTACTTTTATGTCATCATTTTGTTGCAAGTAATCATGCAAACTTTGAATGCACTCTAAAGTGATTTTGCTGGATATTGGAGTCATGTCATCTTCATCTTCTTCGTTTTCAGGAGCTTCTTGGACTGCTGCAATAATTTCATCATCATTAAGCATTTCACCTGTTTCTAAATTATCATCAATATCAATGTAATCACTTGCATTGATGGTGATGTCATCATCAACATTCATTTGATCAACAAGTGATTGGACAACTTCATCTTCTATCTCAATATTATCATCAATTAAATCATTGTTAATTATTTCTTCATCAGGCAGAATACTCAGCATCTGTAAATTACATCATCAGTTACATTTTTCCATGATTCTGCAGTCCAGTCAATTGCATTTAAGATGTTTAAAATAGGAAATTCCATTCCATGTTCTTGAAATTGATCAAATGCATTTATCCTATCTTTACATAACATTTTTCTATAATTTGATTTAAAGGAATGAATTATTCCCTGATCAATTGGTTGAAGGTGGGCAGTTGTATTAGGTGGGAGGAATTGTAATCTAATGTTACTTAACACTTCACCTTCTTCTAATTGATGAGAAGAACATTATCAACCAATAGTAAAATATTTTTTCTTTGTCTTTGCATTTTTTCATCAACTTGTTTAATCCATGATTGGAATATTGAACGTTGCATCCAAGATTGGGGGTGTCATACAAGTAGATCAACAAATCTAATTAATATCATTATATGTATATACAGTTTTTTTAATGGATGTTACATGGAATACTGAAAGGGAAAATTTACCATTTTTAAAATAAAAATAAAAATAAAAGAAATAAAAACAAAAAAAAACCAGAATTATATTCAGAAGATAATCTGCTGTAATACTAATATACATTTTGAAATGTTATTGCATAGCGAATTTCTAAGGAATTAAGGAATCAATAATAAAAATAAATTTTCCAAAAGACCTGTCTAAGGTTGTGGGCGAAACCTCCTTAGTAATTGCTGAAACCATGGCAAAACTATATTAAATCTTATCAAAAATCCTGT